GTCTGGGAAAAGATCCATCCATCTTGGGAGCAAAGCGCTCTGTCTAATCTTTAACGAATACATGCCAGCCCCATGCGTTTATTTGTCCAAGTAAACATGTCACCCTGGTACCCAGGGTCGTGCAACCCAAGATCTTGGACCATATTGCGAAGGTCCACGGCTTGGGAAGCATGCCATGGGTTGCCACCATCCTTTTCATTTTCTGACAAAGTCACATTGAGGTCACCAATGATCACAAAGGGGAGCTGAATTCCCTCACAAAGCGCACGAATTTGACTTAGTTGAGACGCACGCAAGGCGACGTTACAACTCAAATAAGTACAGAGCACCACATAAGAAGAACCATTTTCATTAATTCTTGAACCAATACAAAAACTGGAATGATAAAACACCGAAGCATCAAATTCGGGGGACCACGCAACTACAAGACCACCAGAACCATCAATAGCATCAACAAAAAAACATTGAGCAGACTCAAACCCTAAACCCCGCAAACTACTCACCTGGACGACCTTGTTTCTGAAAAGAAAACAAGATCTGGATTATTCGAACGAACTAAACTAAAAGTTGTTTGGAACGTGAGGGATGGTCCAATTCCTCTCACATTACAGGACAAAAGCCTCATTTATCTGATTGGGGCCATTTATGGCTGGCTTGCTCCACCCTATCAGTCTCCGTGCTTTCTTCCACAAATTGTCTCTTCGGGGTGGGACTGCCCTCAAACCCCTCCTCAACCTCCTACATGGATCGTTTACGGGTCCCATCATCAAGGTTAGATCCATACTCGTTCAGCTTCAACACCATTTCTCCTTCCGCCAGGTCCTCGTGGTCTTTTTCCTCATTGATTACTAGATTTGCTTCAAAAGCAGCCACCACCTGTTTCACCTTCCCATTTTGAACATAAATTTCCTTGTCACTGGGCTGGTTCCTGCTTTTGATAACGAACCGGAGCTCGTCCTCATCAGAATGAGAAACATCAGACTCCCCCTGCGCATCAGGCTCCCCCTGCGCATCAGGCTCCTCCACCACTATTTTTCCTTTCTCTGGAAAAATAGTCTCTTCCACATTTGGTGTCTGCACTCCCTGCTCCTTCTCAGCCACTTTGCTTTTGCGGCTGTTAAGTGTTTTCCCAGGGCGACCCGGTCCACCCGAAGTCTGACCTGCACCCACTTTCTCACTCCGGTTCAGACCAACAGCTGACTTCCTTCGGTTTGAGCGGGGAGCATCACGTGTTTTGGGAACACCCCCCACCGAATTAACTTCCCCCACTTTAACCAGTCAACGGCCCTTCTTCTTACCGCTTGGAACCGCATCAGGAGAGCTTCGACCATTGCCTGGCGGGGCATCCTCGTCCGAGTTGTCCAAGATCAGCCGGCGACGTCGGATTTCATCCGGAGCAAGCTTACAGCCTTTGCGCTCCGCAACCACTTCCTCCGTGACACCATCAGCGAGTGGATCCGGGGAGACAGGACGCATCATTTCCTGGCGGCCCTGATAATTCCCCTCCTCCCGATTGTGCCGGGCAAAGTTCTTATTGTGTTGCTGCTGCTGCACGCGGAGGGGTCGAGCATGGCGACCTAACTAGATTTTCGGCGACCGTGCCACATTGAAGCCACGAGGACTTTGGTGGCGATGCGCTCCTGCTGGAATCAGAGCTGCTGCCTTGCGCGGAGAAGCAGCCTGCTGGCGATTCTTCCCCTGGACAGGCAGCTCGTGTCTCTCCCCATGGATAGTCCGGCCACTGCCTTGCTGGCCGTCTCGCTTCTCTGTGTACGCTTTATTGACTCAGACCGTGTTACCCCCCTTGCAAAAGGAAGGTTATTATCGTCTGTGTCATAAATTCGATTGCCCAGCTTCCGAGTGGACATGTGAGGTCCGAAATTTTCTTTACGAGCCGGGGGGGTTCAAACGTGCACGACCGAAGCAAATGGCCCACTCTACCACAGTGATAGCAGAAGCTGGGTAGATACTCATACTTTAGGCTAACCCAGAAGTTGCCTGTATCTTCATTTATGGCCAAAATCTGGGATCGAAGAGGCTTCGTAAAATCGATTAAAGCGTTGACTTTCACGAACCACCGCACAGTGTCTTGGCAAGCAAACAGGTTCGATTCCAACACTTTTCCAATGGTAGAATGCACCATTTTACTCCCAAACTGTTGTGTGCAGCATTCTTCCTTCACATCCCATAATTGAACCCGGAACGGGACAATTGCTAGGTCTTCGAAAATTTGTTTAGTAATCACTGGAGTCCATGGTCGGAGGTGGATAATTTGGTCATTGATGACCCATGGGGTACGTTTGAGCACCCAAATCCGAGCCTCATCGCTAGGGAGCATGAACTCTACCAATTCATGCTTAGCCAGGACCACCCTGAGACGCCCTTGAATTAGCCAAGGCGTGAGCACACCTTCTCTCAAATCCGTAGTGGAAATTCTATTAGAAGTGAAGACTCTACCAAGCAACGAATGAGAGGCACGATACTTAGTCGATTGCACTTCATCCATAGAAAATTGTACCACCTGGTCCGAGTTAACGTGCGCCATCGCTTGAGCCTGCAAAACAGGATCCTTTGTAGTAAGAATCGACTCAACATCCCCACCAATCCGTGGGCATACCATCCCCATGCAAGCTACATGCTCATGGCTTTGTTTAGGAGCCAAGCTTCGCACGTTCGAGTCACATAAATCCAAAGAGTTGGAGCGACATGGGGGGCCAGCCAATATTCTAAAGGACCGTGGGAAAAGAATAGAGTTCGAAAGCATACCTACGTGGGATGGGAGCTTGGGGTTGATCGTGGCCGGACCTAGTCGTAGGCTTCTCTTAGGATGAGCAGATATGGAAGTCTGAGTAAGAGAGCCAGAGCCGACCAGTTTAAATAAAGGCCAGGTTATTCCACCAAGCAGAATTCCCATCTCCACGCGGCTCTCCACGCGGTTTCGAGGAAGCATAAGCCGAATAGAACTCTGCTTCAACAATAATGGTTGTGGAGAATAATTGTTTTTTGTTGTAACTATCCCCGTAATCACGGAGACGGAATCTGGAGGAGATCCAGGCATAACTGACATCCGTGTCCCAGGGGGACTTTGAACACAACAATCGTCGACGACGGAACGGCGGCCACTGGCCCGCCCAGCCGACTTCGGTCGCCGGATAAGTTTGCTCGGTATTCTGAATTCAAATAATGTTGCCGACGCCGGGGGAGAGGTGGTATTCCAAATTGCCATGATACCCTTGGCAACCATGCTGGATTTTTGTCCCACCAGTTCCTCCCTCTCCAGCATCGCGGACTTCAACGGAGGAGAGATATTCCCGATTGCCATTTTATCGTTGGCAACCATGGTGGTTTTAGTGAATACCAACTCCTCGTCGTCCAGTTCCTTCATCATTGGGAGCTTAAAAGACCAGGCTATAGAGCGAGCGTGACGTCGACGCTTCGCAATCACCCACAAGTTTTCACCTGGGTCATGCCCAAGTTTACGATTACCATTAGTGTTATCAATTTTTGTAGCCATTCTTCGGCTTTCAAAGGACACTCGCCCATAGGAAACCTCACTCCTGCTTCGTTCGGTAAGGAAACGCTTGGCAGATTGCCCAACCTCGTCCGACTTCGTTGAGGCACGAGAGTTTCTTGATTTCCAGCCTTGCGGTTGTTGTTGATTACGCAAGCAGGTGGAAAAGATGGAGATCACCATGGCGATCAGGAGATGGCCGACCCATCTAGCGAGTCGAAGGAGAGAGGGGAGAGAACTCCCCATCTTTTTTTTTTAATTATAGTGCCCTTAACTGGCAAATTTCGTAACCGAATCACTATAATAATAATTATTATTTAACCCATTAATCCTACTTCCTTCCGTATAGGAGAAAAATTGAGCAATATGAGCAACCGTATGGATTTAATTGTCCAAATTGAATTTGTCCAATTAAATTTCCCTAAAAATGCATTATTGCCCATTGAGAACCCACAGGTTGCCGGAAAAATGGTTATTGCCCATGTAAACCTTCTTGGCAATCAAACCATCTCGGCAATTAAACTGTCTATATCCCCTCCGTTCCAATTTTCCGCCACCATAACTTGAATCCTTAATGACTGAATTGAAACAATAATGAACATATAGTTTCTAACTTATGGTAAGGTGGAAACTGAAGAGATTTTGGAACTATTGGAAACTAATTCCCATACCAATAATAAAAAATATTATTGCATGCATGGTTTCCAAAGAGTCGCATGCACAGTTGAACTGAACCAGATTTGAAGTTTAAGCTGTATTGGGAGGCATTTTAGTATGCTATATAGCATGTATACTTTACTATGTTTATAGCCATTGGATATTGTTAAATATTGTGAGCCACATGATCTTGTTAAATTAATTAGTTTTATTTATTTATTTGGTATTGGTTACCTGTGGTACCGGTTCACAAGTTTGATAGTAATAAAAAAATCAATTCGAATTAGGGAAAGCTTCAGTTCAGTCGACTTCTCCGATTGAGCAGTTTCAGTCGACATCTCCGATTTTCCATTCTCTTCGATGACAGTGAAGGCGGTGAGCAGGGGGTGACGGCAAGCCGGATTCTGAAAGAGTTCGACGGCGAGTGCGACGCTGGGTAAAGGAAGAAGTAGGGTGTTGCATCTCTTCGTCGATTGTGATTCGCGGAAAAGGGGATTGAGCTCGTCGATTGCATAGACTGGGATTTTGTCGACGGCAACGGAGGCAATAGCCCCATTTCCACCTTCGAATTGTTTCTCCCTAGAAAGGTGGCTCTTATTCTTCAAAGCTCTTCTTCTCCAGTCCATCCAACCTTAGCCCAGTGCTCGCCATCATTAGCTTCAAGCTCACCCGCCTTGCCTTTACTGTGCTTGAAGGTTTTCACCGACGGCAACGGAGGCAATAGGCCCATTGTCAGTTTTATTGTCGGATGAGCTCGATCGTTTGAGCCCCATTGTCAGTTATCGCAGCCCCTTGCATCTCCGCCATTGGTTGCTGTCGTCGTTACAGGTCGCCCTAGGGTTTGTATTCTGTTTTATTTGCTTTCCTACTTATTTGTTAGTCTCTGCGAAGTTTCTTCAGTTTGTCCGAGACCTTTTAACCTGCCCTGAATCTGCCAGCTTTTGATTGCAGTTCGCGAAATAAGCAGAGGGGGAAAAACCAAAGCAGAAAGAGATGTTCTTTCTGAGTCTGATAGAGCACAAACTGCATTTGCCACCTGCTGGTCTATCGCTTCCTCTCCATGAAGGCATGAAGAAATTTCTTGATGGTATCTTCTTAGATAAGGTATGCTTGTATCCTCATTTGTCTATCTATGTCCATTTGCAAAGCAACTCTTAGAATTCTGAACAAACCAATAATGGTTTTCTTCCTTCGTGATATGTCTTCTAAGGTTATCTTGAACTTGGGACTCTGTGTGTCCATCTATGACATTAGAAATATATATGGCGGCTTCATTCGTGCCGGAGAAGGTGCTCCAACCTACACTGTGAGTTACATCGTACATCTTTTGTCAGTTTGGTTGCTTTTGTTGAAGTGAATCAATGAAGCTTGATTAGTGAATTGGTGTGATTTTCTTTATTTCTGTTAACGCTGGTGGAAACGAACCAATGCATTTGGAGATAATGCTTCGCTATGATTCTTGTAGGTAAAATTTAGAATGGTGGTATTCCGGCCTTTTACATGAGAGACTATTGTTGCCAAAATTATAGAATCTGATAAGGATGGTCTTCGATGTAAGTTCTGATTGTTGTCTGCTTTGACGACTCCTACACTAGTGTTAATCTGGCTTTGCTGCGATTCGTGTGATACGCCTAACCCATATTTATCAAGAAAATTTGTCTGAAGAAAAGAACATGATTTAATGAATTTGATGTGAGATCTGCCAGTTCCTTTGGCATTTCACTAGGTTAATTGCAGTTTAGGTGCAAAGCCAATGGATAAATAAGGATTTCTTCTTAGAGAAGAAAAAAGGAAGACTAATCTTAGAACAATTTTCCTCATATGCAAAGCGATTTGGGTAGTGAAATTGGGTGATCTCACAGTCATTATATAAAGAATAAGCTAGGACAGATTGCTGGTTTATCTCATTCTCTAGCTGAATATTGAAACCTTCATCTCTTCTCTTTTTGGCCCTTTCTTGTGTGTTTATGTTTACTTTCTATTACATTATAATAACAACTATTCTCTTCCTAATTAACTGACATAGAAAGCATGATTTACAGTATCGCGTGGATTCTTTGATGATATCTATGTGCCAGCTCATCAGCTTCCCCAACCATGCCATCAAATTCCAGATCCTGATCGTAGGTAAGATCACTCTTACTTGCTACCTGAGAGTACCCAAGGAATACACCCTTTGTTAATCATCGCAGATGAGATGAAACATGATTAGGAATGTTAAGTGGTCATTCCTTAATGAGTTGATTATTCATGTAATGCAATATGTATATAGTGATGAAATCCTTGTTTCTTCTCACTGTCCCTTTTACTCCATACCTCAATTTAGTCATGGAAATTGAGTAAATTCTCTGTGTGGACTGCAGATTTAAAGTCAGATGGATATGGGAATACGACATCGAAGATACATGAAACCCAGAACAGTATAACATCAACGGCTTGGATGAGGTTTACATTGTCTTTACCATACTGCTCCCCTCACTGTCCTGTTAGGTGGTTCCGAGTTCTGATTTTTTGTTCTGGTTTATGGTAGGTTAAACTTCAAGTCCTGAATGTGAGCTTCCCACCACTTCCAATTGAGCATCGAGAGAAGACTTTTGCTCTGATGCCTATTACTGTAAGCCAGCCTTCAAAATCATGCTAACCAGATCTTGCTATATTTGATGTTCTTTATGGTGTTCTTCTTACAAGGTATGTCTTGATGTGGGTGACTTGTGTCTTGATGCCAGGGATCCATATCTGAATGTGGTTTGGGGCCGGTTTCATGGTGGTGATTGAAAAGGGTTCAGAACTTGAAGAAACTAAGGATTTTTTGCAATGACATTATCATAAAAGCACTGGGGAATTCGGCTTTGAGGGAGGACAATAGAAGTGTTAGAGAGTATAATGTTTTTGGGACTTTAGAGTATGGTCCAGAGTCGTTTGTATCTAGGTTGCCTTTGCAGGAAGATTGGATGGCCTAGCCTAATGTCATCGGAATGTTCCAAGTAGAAACTGCATAAAAAACTTAGAGAATGCTAGCTCTATTCCTACTTAAGTCATGACATGTTGTTTCAATTTGTAAGCAATCTATGCTATGAAACAGCCACATTTTACGGGTATGAGATTTTCAACTCCAAGCCCGTGATAATGACTAGGATTTAGCGAGTAACATGTACAAAAAATTTACTTCAAGTTAATTTCAATATTTACAAATTTTATGTGATGGTCAATCTTTGTTTTAAGATTTTTTTTTTGGATTACTACTAATCTAATACTAGGCAAAATCTCATATTCTATATATTAAAGTGGCTTATTATGTGCCATATTCCTATGATTTTTGACATGTCATTGTCCAAAATACGATGTATCATCCATAAACACAAAGATTAACCATGTTTCTTTGACTTGTACCATTATTACTCCATGTTGTACCACAAGTCCGAATGTACAACCAGAACTTGTACCTATTAGGGTGTACATGAGTTGGGTTGTCTGGGTTTAGCCATTTTAATCACCCGACCCATGCACTACGGTTTGAAAAATATTAAACCCAAACCCACCCAAAAAAATTAAAACCCTACAATTAGTTTTTAAATGGGTTGGGTCAGGTTGGTGATATTGTTAAGTTAAAACCCCACCCAACGCAAAATATGTAATTATTCTACACATAAAAATATTTTATAACTTGTACCTATACAATGGTACAACTTTAAGTTGTACCTACACTTTCTAACAAATCCCTCTATGGTACAACTCAAAATTATACATATACTAATGGTACAACTTTCAGTTGTACCTACACTTTCTAACAAATCCCTCTATGGTACAACTCAAAATTGTACCTATAATAATGGTACAACGTTAAGTTGTACCTACACTTTCTCAAAATTCTTCTATGGTACAACCTAAACTTGTACCTATACTATGGTATAACTATAAGTTGTACCTACACTTTCTAACAAATCCCTCTATGGTACAACTGAAAATTGCACCTATACTAATGGTACAACCTTAAGTTGTACCTACACTTTCTCAAAATCCTTCTGCGGTACAACCCAAACTTGTACCTATACTATGGTACAAGTTTAAGTTGTACCTACACTTTCTAACAAATCCCTCTATGGTACAACTCAAAATTGTACCTATTCTTGTGGTACAATCTTATGTTGTACCTACACTTTCTAAAAATCCTTCTATGGTGCAACCCAAACTTGTACCTATACAATGGTACAAATTTAAGTTGTACCTACACTTTCTAACAAATCCCTCTATGGTACAACTCAAAATTGTACCTATACTAATGGTACAACCTTAAGTTGTACCTACACTTTCTCAAAATTCTTCTATGGTACAACCCAAACTTGTACCTATACTATGGTACAACTTTAAGTTGTACCTACACTTTCTAAAAATCCTTCTACGGTACAACCCAAACTTGTACCTATACCATGGTACAACTTTAAGTTGTACCTACACTTTCTAACAAATCCTGTCTATCGTACAACGCAAAATTGTACCTATACTAATGGTACAACTTTAAGTTGTACCTACACTTTCTCAAAATCCTTCTGCGGTACAACCCAAACCTGTACCTATACCATGGTACAACTTTTACAAAAAACTCTATGGTACAACCTAAAAATTATACCTACACGCTAGGTACAATTTTGAGTTGTACCTACACTTTGCGAAACAAATTCTTCAATGGTACAGTTGAAACTTGTACCTATACGATATGGTACAACTCTAATTTGTACCTACACTTGTATACATTGATTCATTATTTACAAGATTGCCATTAATGATGTGGGACCAGTCATTTCGTGGGTTTACCTCCTCAACAGGTCACCTTTTTGTTTTTTGTTTTTATAGCATGAGTGTTATAGAGCACACTAGAAGAGCTCCTGTATTGGGCAACGCAAACATGAATTGAATACATATTACGACTGCTTTATTGGATACATGATAAATAAATAAATAAATAAATAAAAATGATGCATCAAATATCCGCCAAAGCAAGCATCATGAATCATATCGAACGAAGGAATCCAGGCACAGAAAGATAATATGATTAGCAAAATCATACACAGAATATCAGCCTGGCAAAGGAATCACAAGAGGAAACATCGAAACATGGAAGATTGAAACATGGAACTATAATGTTGCAATCATGCATTTCAAAACCCCAATAATCAAACAAAGATGAAAAGCTCTGATACCACTTGTTGGAATTTAATCGATATATGTAATTCCCCGAAACACATCTCGTTAGATTATCAAAGGTTTGTAGAAATACCTGGAATTGTGTTGTTGATCGCCAAGAGCTTGATGCAGAATCTGGAAGACGATCTACAGTCGGACGATACTTCTTGGAGCACGATCCGGGAGGTTTTGTGATCTTCCTCAACCAAGCCTCCTTAGACCACTAACGGGGATCCTCTGATCTTCCTGATGGGGAGAAGAAGAGAGTGTTTCGTCTTGGTGTATTGGAGACCACAACCTCAAGCTCCTTTATATACTAGTTTCACATGGGCTCCCATAAAACCAAGGTGAACAAGTATTGGGTTTCCACCCATTTAGGCCCATATCAATACAAGACATCTTTGGGCTCCTGATTTGGATCACTTACAATTAGCCCACTAAAATAAATAGCTTTATAATTGTCAAATATGTGGCCCATAACATTATAGGAAATAGAATTTCCTAACAAGTGGAAGACCTCATGGTTCACGTTGGCAGATTCTTTTATCCGTCGGATTTTGTTGTCTTAGACATCAATGAGGACGCAGAAGTGCCCCTAATACTAGGTATGACTTTCCTGACCACCGCCAAGGCTCTCATTAATGTGCATGATGGGACCTTAGTCTTGAGGGATGGTGAGGAGCATATAACTTTTTCCATCGCTAATAACATGATTGCTCCCTCGCCTTTGCATGTTGTATCTCACTAGGTGAACGAGTCTATCATGTATCCTTCTTTGTCTCCCATTTTGCAAGATTCTGCATCTCATCCTTGTCCGCCACTTCCGCTCCCAAAGTTACCAAAAGAGCGGCGCAAGGAGGAGTGGCGGCCAAAGCTGCAGTCCTCCAAGCCTGGCAAACGAAAGCTGGAGACCGCTATGAGCTGGTCCCGGCTCCTGAACCACGACCCCCCTGACCATCCGAGTATTCACTCACGTGCATCCTACCGGATGGCCAGGTCGAGTTGACCTGTGCAGGTGGCCAAAACTATCGTGTGCATGACCACCATTTGAAGTTGCACCTCAAGAGCGATGTGGATCCGCTCTTGGAGGCACCTGCTCTTAATCTGCTCTGAGCATCTGCTGGCTGTGTCTAGCTAAAGACGTAAAAGAAAGTGCTTGTGGGGAGGCAACCCCACCACGGTTTGCATTTCTTTTCCTGCTTTTTGATTTTTTGGTTGTTGCGTCGTTTTGTGTGCCTGTCGAGCTCCCATTGGGCTGAAAATTACCCCTAACAAACAGTGTTCTAGTGGTTGTTTCTGAGACCCTCTCTTGCAGCGACTGGTCCCATTTCAAGTCTTTTTCCCCCGTCCGACTGGTCCACTCTCCCGTCCAGCTGTAGTCTGTTTCTTCCGGTAACATCGTTCCCCTTATCTTTCCCTCTTCTCCATTGAGGGCAATATCGATCTTAGGTGTGGGGGGGGGGGGGGGTGTATATTTGACTGCTTAGTTGTGTTTGTGTGCTTGGAGCCTAGTCCACTGTCCAAATTTCGATTTGAGGGCTCCAAGTACGTGTTCCTTTCAATCGCCTGCTTGCTTTGAACTGACAGTTGATAGACCGTTAATTACACATGTTTTTACCCCCGTTCTTACACCGTTTGAGGTGTTGATTCTCGTGTTTTAGTCAGATTTCACGCTAGGTTGTGCTTGTTGGTGATATTTCAGGTCCTAGTACGTGAATGGAGGCTTGGGAGCGAGTTTGGGGTCGATTGGACGAAGATCGGACGCGTGGCGAGGTGCTAAGGAAGCTGCACGGTCACACACAAAGACCACACGGCCGTGCAACTGGCAAACCAGGCCGTGTGGGATTGTGCGAGAGCAAACACGGGCACAAGTAACTTTCATACGGCCGTGCAAGTGAGCAAGGTGGCCGTGTGATTTTCGCCGAGAGCAAACACGGGCGAGATGGAAGTCTCACACGGCCGTGCGACCCTGGCCGTGTGGGAAGCCTGAAGATCGAACTAAAGGATACGATGCGTTTTGACTCACACGGGCAATTGGGTGAGCCATACGGCCGTGTGGCCTGCCCGTGTGAGTCGGGAAATTCTGGTTTTTGAGCCAATTTCGAGCCAAAAGTGGGAGAATCGGATTTTCAGAGCAAAAAACAGAGCCCTAGAGAGAGAAAGTACGAAGAACACATCCTAGAAGCTATCTTGGAGCTGGGTTTCATCGAATCGAGCTTGGAGATCGTCATAGGAGTGGAAATCATCATCCCGGAATTGATTTTCCTCATCATTATGAGTATGACTACTCCGATTACTGTTTTCTCTTCTCTCTCTATGGAGTAGAACCCTTCTCTCACTTGGGTGTGAAGAACCCTAGTTCCTTGTGTTAGGGATTTGATTGTAATAACTTGGGATGATTATACTGTTTGATTTTAATCGAATGATGCATGTTTATTGAATTGATTGAAGTCTGATCAGCTTTTCTTGATTTCTGCTGCAACCTGAGATAGATAGAATCTGATTAGGTTGTTAGAGCCTCTTCATTCGATAGTAGGAGATTGGATATACGAGAGTTAGCCAGTTTACTGCTTTGTACTGGAATTCAATTCCAGTAGTGGAGTTTTGTTCTTATTGCTTCAGCTTTCTATCCCGGTGAAGACTAGTCGTCTGCCGGGTAGTTAGACTAAGAGGGCTTGGTCAGCTTAAGAGATTCCAAGCTACTGTCGGATCTTCCGCAGTCTAATCAACAGTGAATCAACCCAGGGAATTACAATTGAACCTAACAAGGGCTAGGGGGACTCATTCCCGAGTGACTCTTTCCTGACTTTGAAAACCGAACAATTTCCTGCTTTCTTACTGCTTTTGCTTTAAACAACAATCAATCGAATTAGTTGGCTAGATAATAGATAATCACGGAGTAAGCGTAGATCTAGACCCCGGGTTGATAATAGAACTTGCCTGTTACTGCATTCCCGGACTGCGATTACACTTGGTCGCAGTTTGGTGTGTGTTTTGGCGTGTCAAGTTTTTGGCGCCGTTGCCGGG